TCCATTTGAACTTATAGAGATAATAAAAAGTTTATCATTGTTATATGAAAACAATGCACATATTGGCCGGAATAAATTTATTTATTTTTTATTTTCATGTTTAATGTATTACACGCACGCACGCACGCACGCACAAGAATTATGGGTATATTATATAAATAATATTAAATGTATAAGTGATATAAAATCAGTTAAAATAAGATCACATGAATGATTGATAATTGTAAATCCCTATGAAGAAGGGCGATTTGATGAACTTGTGTACAATAATATTAAAAGTTAAGTTATCAACTGATTTTAAGGGGAGTAATAAAAATAGGTGATTATATTTGCATAAAAACATTGATTAAATGTTTTATTGGTTGGCAAGAAAAGTGGTGACTACCTTGAAATAAGATAGAATAACATTTTGGATGATATGATAAATGAAATATGATAAACCAATATTCTTTTGATATCATGATTGACATTAAATTATTGAATATTGTTGGATCATTGATGAATACATTAATACTGCATTTAATTCACACATTTATTGTTTACATTAAATATAATTGAAATACTCATATTCATACATGCACATAAATATCATGATTCATTTACTTCTAAAGCTAAGAACATTTGCTTTTGCTTTTCAAGAAACGAATGGAGCATGAGAGCCAAAAGCTATAAAAGATTAATTTATGTTATATTTTTTATTGATGATGTAGATATTATCCTATTATAATCTTGATTTAAATGTAATCTATTGATTTAAATTGATAAAATCCATGATTATGACTTGCAAATAATTTTTAGTAAGAATAATGATTCAAATACTAATAAAAATTTAAGGTACTATTTTTTGTTGCAATTTTAATTATGGATATTAGTAACTGTAAGAAATTATATGTTCATGAATATGATTCAATCCATTATCAAAATTGGATGCGCTGATAGAATATATTAGTTTCTGAAGTGACAACTATCATTAATTTTTATAATTTTTTTTTTTGGGAGGTGATGAAATTAATTCAAAGTACACCTGTCAATCCAATTATCAAAGCTATAATCTATCATCACAGTTAAACCAACTTATAAGACCAATGCATGTGACATGTATTTAAGATCTTTGCTCATAAATATCAACAAAAATGGAGATTCTTAATTGCACCCGCACCCGCCACACCAACATGGGTCACCAAAATCCAAGTGTTATTGGATCAACCCAAGTGAGGCATCTTTTAATCAAATTTTAACCATGAAAAAGATGAGATATTCATCATGTTTAGAAAACCTTTCATTGAAATTTGATTTGCATGTCATAATCATAGTTCAGTTCACAATCACTTTAGATCATGCATGCATGCTTATCTAGTCATAGCTAATGTAGCTATAATTGATCCAAATCCATACACTGCAAATTATGGTTGTATTGTATCAATCTTTGGGTTCACATATCGTACCTTCTCATTGATTGTGATTGTTTTCTCTAGTTTTTTCTCTAATATAAGAAATCCTCTAAAATATTTATCTTCTTGGCTACATTGGTTTGCTCTCCTGAATTGATAAATTATGTTGGTTGTAATTATAACCACATTAATAGAAGAGATTTTTTCTTTGCTTATATTAAGAGATTTCTTTGCATTAATGATTTTCTTAATAATAATCAAGTAATTATCAAAATATATTATTAGCTTTAAATATTATTAAGCTGAACTAATGTAATGGCTGCCAAATTGTCTTAGCAGTGACATTCATTTTTCTTAACGCATGAGTTTAATTTAAGCAATGCAACTTCAAATTTAAAAAGGAAAAAACTCACCTGTAACATGCTTTAGCTTTATTTAAATATTTATGGGGAATATATATACATACAACATAATTCTTATGTATTTACATATCTAACATATAAACATTCATATTTACATGCATGTCACTCATTCTTAACATTACTTTATTAGCATCATCATTATTATCTTTTTAGAAGTAAAATGTTTATTTTCATGAATAATTTATACTAAGGCGTTATAAGTGTATTAGATGTGCTATACTCATTTGGTATAGAGGTTATATTACTTTCAGGCAGGACAACTATTGACAGTATTTGTAAAAGTTCCTTATTAAGATATGAGCTTTATTCGAAGTTTGCATATCAATCCTATTATCAAAGCCTTAATCTATCATCAAAATTACATTAACTTATATGATCAGTGCATATAACATGAATTTTAAGACATTTGCTTAAAGCGATGGTTAAAATTACACTCACCACACCAACGTTGATCATTATAATTCTTCAAGTGATGTTGGGTCCACCCAAGTGAGGCTTCATTCAACCACATTTTAACCATCAAATGATAATATGTTAATAATTTTTAGAAAACCTTTCATTGAATTTGATTTGCATTTAATTATCATATTTCGGTTGACACTCACCTTAAATCATACATGTGCGTCTAGTCATAGCCAATAGTTGCAATTATCGTTATAGTTAATCTAATCGCTCCACAATTTGTGGGCGTATTGGATCGATCTTTGGGTTCACCTATCCTACCTTCTAATAGGCTGTGATTTTTTTCTCTAAATTTTTCTCGCATATCAAAAACTTCCCTAAAATATTTATTTTCTTGACAACCTTGATTTGCTCTCATGAATTTTAGAATTATGTTGGATGTAATTACAACCACGTTAGCATGAGTGATTTTCCTTTAAGCTTACCTTAACTCCACCTTTTCCCGGTCCTAATTCCCAGTTGCGAAAAATGGAGGGTTGCATTAGGAAGTCGACAAGAAACATAAAAAAAATGTTGGAAAACTATTACATGAATCCTTTAAATTATTATGTCAACGTGAGGGCATCTCCTTAAAGTTAGATATGAATACATTGAATATTGTGCAAGGGTCACGACATTGATGCCCTAGTGTAGTGTTAAATATGTAAGAGTTCCCACATAATAAACTAATGGGGACAAATAAGTTAGTCTATAAAACTAATATTTTGTGCACTACATATATCAAATATATTAAATGATAAGTGGACTCATCCGATCGGTTTAAGTGCGCGATATATGTATACATAAGAATTGTGTGCTAGGCATGCAAATTTCCCTTTAAATTTTTCATTTTAGATATGGAAACACCTAAGATTTGAGTCGTATGCGTGAAACAACCGGCTACAACATCAAAACTTTTTAGGATTGAATAATTATTTTAAATTTTTCCCAAGAACTTAAAATCAAAATCTATTAGTTTTAAGGGCTGAAATGAAAAAAAAAATCAATGAATAGTGGAATCAAGGTTACCCATGATTTGAGTGTAAGAACTCGTGAACTGGCGAACTCTCTTGAAATTGGGAATCAAGAGCAGTTGATCAGCTCTAGAGTAAAAGCGCACCCAATGGGAGAAAATGATAAACTTTGGTTGTCAAATCAATATAAATAGTCTTACAAACAACTTTAAGATGATTCTAACCATTCCTAATCATCAGTTAAATTTTCATGACTATTGATTATTTGATGGCTAGAACTCAAGGGTCGGCTTTCTAACGGGTGTTGACTATCAGTTAATATTTCATGACTGTTAGCTACTAAATTTACTCAAAGCCCAAGGGTTAGTTACCTTAAAAAAAAAAAAGTAATAAGAAATAAATGTAAAATCCATTAGTGTCTAAATATTACTTTAAAAACTAACACTCCAAGAAAAAACACTAAAACCAACGCTAAAACTGATGGTAAAACTGATGACCTACATTTGCTTCATAAAAAATGTTCCATTTTCGGCGGTGTAGTAATGATTTATAATTCGGGTTATTTGCGACGGCTTGACAATAAGAAATTTATTAACAGTATTATTTTTTCTGACAATTTTGATCATTGCTGATGTGTTATGCTTTTGTTAAAAGAATATATTAACTGACGGTCATAGTGTGTCGGTCCCGTCATTTATCAGGGTTCTAACTGATGCATTTTTTTAATAAACGAGTATTATTCGTCAGTAATAATATAAATTACTGACGGTCGAACGACGTTTTATGTTTAGCTCATTTCCTACGGCATAAATACAGAATTTCTGTCGTTTTTTAACATCAATATATTTTCCAACGGTTTTCTTATTTCTGATGCAATAAGCCGTCAGTTATGAACGTATTATCTTCGAACAGACATCTGACAAGATATTAACTGATGTGTTTTTATAATAAGCAGCAGAAATGACCATCAGTAGAAGCATTAATAATTGACGGAGTTTAAGTCATGTATAAGTCCTTAAAAAAATCCATTACACCACTAAAATTGAGGCCCTTTCCCTCCTTCCCTAATCCCCTCTCCCCTCGCTCGTCTCCTCCCGAACTCCTCTCCTCTCCCCTTAAACCCCTGTCCTCTCCTTGAAACCCTTGCATGCCCCTCCACCCGCTCTTTGTTTCATCCAAATTCACCGCCTTCATCACCGAACACTCGCGATACAGTCCGCAGCAGCGAAGTTAAAGGGGAAAAAAAAACTCACCTCTAACATGCATAAACATTCTTTACATATTTATGTGGCATTTACATACATGCCACATAATTCTTATGTATTTACATTTCTAACATATAAACATTCATATTTACACGCATATTATTATCTTTATAAAAGCTAAAATACACATTTCCATGATATTATAAGTGTAAACATCAAACTTTGCAGAATAATGTATATGAAAATACATAAACATTATGTAATAAGTAACTAAATTTCGATAATATTTAAGCAGATACTGAACCCTTTGATAAAAAGACAAATCACCTGGACATGGCACGCCGTTAACTCAATTATCCCAAGCTGGGCCCGTCCATTGCATCAATTTGCGAAAAAAATATATTATGAAATTGAATTTATGTCATTAGCTATAATTAACATAAAGATTAATCATATACACAAAATATTAATTAAATAATAATTTCACCTCTCATAATAACATCAACGTCATTATTTATAAATATAGCTATGGCCTCAAACTCCTGACCTACTCGGCTCAAATTAAACTGGGCCCACACACACTTCACCATTAAAACCCGAACCCATCGCTGCCCCTCCACAAATTCCCCCTCACAATCTCTCCGCCGACCGGCAATGGCGAAGAACGGGAAACTGAACAAGCTGACGCGCATGATAAAGCGGTGGAATTCCTCCAACAGAATCCACCGCACCGGCGACGCTGGCTCTGGGAGGTCCGACGATGAAGACACGTGGCATGCCGGCAACGAAGTCCCCCCCGGATACCACGAGGTATACGTCGGTAAGTCTCGCCGGCGTTACATCCTAAGCTCGGATCTAGTAGACCGCCCCCTCTTCAAAAACCTCGTAAATCGATCCAGCGGAGGAGTCGTCGGCGCGACAGTCGTTGACTGCGAGGTTGTGCTTTTCGAACACTTGCTGTGGATGCTGGAGACCGCCGAGCCGCAGCCGGAGTCCTTTGATGAGCTGGTTGACTTTTACGCTTGTTGACTGACGGTCTCGCCGGCGGCTAACGGTTCTTGTGGAGGAGTACTGGACCGCAGTGAATCAGTTATTGCATTTTGCTTTGGCGTTATTTGTGTAGAATTTACAGCTTGAAATTGTAGTCCGGGGGAAGAGATAAATAATGAAATGGTTGATAGCGATTAACAAATTCTAATCACTGTTGACTGCATTGTGCCACCATGTTTCTCTTTTGGATTCTACAAATTGGTCTGAACAATGCTGTTGTAATTAAAATTTTAAATTTCTGGAATAATGGCATTGATCCAATTGCCGTGTATATTTTCATTGAGAAATATTTTTCCTTATTTCATATATATCATGTTCGCATTGGTGGTTAGGCCTAATTATGCGCTGCTGTACCTACTAATAGCTTGTCTCCTTAGAGAATATTAGCAACTTAACTACCTTTTAGTTTGACTTTGATATATATATATTTCATAATAGACCAAGATTATTTATATTTTAATAATATTTTGGTTGATTTACAATTTTATCGAACCAACTTTGTAAAACTGTCTGATCGATCAAATTAAAATGCAAAAAAAATAAAATTAAGTCGTTTTTTTATTTTCTGCCTTAAATGTAGTAAGTTAAGCTGATCTATCTTATCAAAATTTATCTTTTTCCACTTTTTCATTCGTTAAATTGATTGTAAATCATTATAGAATTTTTATTAGATTATTTTAATTTAGAATCATTTATATTTTATATTAACCAAAAAAATTAACTTTAATTAAAGGCTTTATTTAATTTAACTTTTAACTTGAGAAAAATATCTGCATTTTTTAAATTTAAGAACATAAGCAGCAGGATGTATGGTCAAAACTGAATGAAGTTATAAATTATGACTACAAACATATATAAATTGATCATGCAATTGAGGCACTCGTCGTTTGTGAACGCTTCATATTCGACTCACTAAGTGGTTCGTGTTCGATTCAATATTATACAATGTTAATATTTAAACAATCTCAATACGCATCAGCTGGTGAACAATTGTTAGTTGTCATCTAAGATAGAAATGATAGTTATCATAATGTTTCTTAATGTATTAAAATGGTCGTTGGAAGTACCAGTATTGGCATACATGCTAAGAAAGACAGAAAGAGAAAATCAATCTCTTGTCCAATGCATTTGTTGTTGAGTAAAAATACACAAACCAAAATCAAGCACAACTTTACATCTTCTTAGGCACATTAAGGAATGTGATAAGATAAAAGTAAAGAGTCAACAACTGATTGGATTATCAGATAAAATATAGAAGAGATTGCATAAGTTTGTACAAGTTACAAAATAATTAGAAGTTCCAGCCACAAGACCTTTGCCTATTTATATTTCTACTAGATGCAACTCAACTTTCAACATGCTAGAGCCTTTATATTGCAAAGTTTTACATCACTATACAATTAGAGATAGTAATTGTAAATGGTTGTCAACTAATTTAGATTGGATAAATATGAGAAAATTAGAAAATTTCTTTCAATTTTCAATATCGTTACTAAGATAATCTTTGTTACTCTCTATCTCACTTCAAATATATTTTTACATGCAGTTATGCTTGTTAAAAATATTCTGATAAAAGAGTCAATGTCAGAAGATGATTATATGAGAAATATGATTTGGTGTATGCAAATTAAATTCAATAAATGTTGGGGAGAATACAATCTTCTGTTGCCTATTGCAGTAATTTTAAGACCCTAGATTGGAAGTCAAATTTATTAGTTACATATTCTTGAAGACACTTTCACGTGATGAGATTGATCAAATATTAAATCAGTTCAATATGTCTTGTGAGAAATATATGTAAATTATGTTGTTGATTGCACATTTCCAAGTCTTACAGCTAATGTTTCACATGAGAGATCTTCATTTGCAGTTGATCATATGATTTCCACATATCACTTTGACTCGATGTTTGAATTTCAAGATTTTGTTGTAGCTTTTGGATTAGTGAAATGAATTATGCTTGATTTACAAGTACACCTTGAGGAGGAATTTTTTGTCTGCATGAGTGATAATTTTGATGTGCTTGAATGGTGGAAGATGGATACACTAAAGTATCCCCAATTTTCAGTTATGGCTCGAGATATTTTATCAATACATATAACCACAATTGCCTCAGAATCTATTTTTAGTGTTGCTGATAGAGTGTTATATTATAGAAGCAGTTTATTCACTAAAATTGTTAATGCACTGGTTTGTGCATCAAAGTGGATTGGATCCATTCAAAAAAATGCAATGAGATGTTTGATAATCATTTCATAAATATACTTTTTCCTAGTTCCTTCTCTTTTTTTTTACTAATAAATATCTAAGTTGATACATTTTCTAGTTCCTTCTTTTTATATGAATTTGATACATTTAAAGTTGGTATGACATAATAAAGTTAAGCAATCCTTTAGGCCCAATTAGATGAATGCAAAAAAAATTTAAAGTTGGCAGGACAATTTCATTAAGCAACTCTTTATATTAACCTTGAAAAATCTAAAGAAGAATGGCATACCCACATTATGTAACAATTTAGATTGTAGCTAAACTTAACATTTAATCATACATCTGAGCCTTAATATTATGATAATTCATATGCGGTAGATTTTTTTTTTTTCATGTTTAGCTTTATTGTTTAATCTAATTTGATGAAAAAAATTGCATAATATTTCACCTCAATAGAATTTATGTTTTTAGATCTTTATTTATTTAAAATTTCATATAATTAAAATGTTTGCATGAAATTTTTGTTTATGCTTTCAATTTCTTGTGAATACTTGGAAAGTTTGATCATTATCTTTTGAGAAGCCCTTACTTTTGAGGCTAACTGATACTTCAATGAGTCCCTATTTGGCTACTCATTGGTAGAGATTAGCGGATCTATATTTTTATGCAAAATGGGTGATTTGGAAAGCCCGTGTTGGTTATTGTCTGTTGATTAATTGATACTTCAATGCACCATGTTGGTTTCTGTCTGTTGGTTGTTGGTTGTTGGCTCAAAAATTGTTATTGTTGTGGTTTTGAACTTTTGGTGTTGTTTTTTATTTTGTATTGGTGTTGTTTTGTTCTTTCTCTACTAATTTAGTATTTTTGCTATTAACATCTTATCCTACAAGATGTTTGATTCAACTAAAATGTGGTTATAAGTGTTACATGATTTTACCACAAATGCATAAAAGATGCAACTTTTCTTTATTTACATCCATCTTCCTAAAAATTTTAGCTTATAGTCTTTGTAAGTAATATTAGAAAATTAGAATTTTTTTTGTTTTTTACTTTAAAAGCATATTTATTTGCCTTGATAACATTTTCTACCTCATTGTACTACTATGTCTCTTTTTATATATTAGATTCTTAGACTTCATAAACTTTTATAGTAATCAATGTTCCCTTTTGGTTGTTATTTGTTGGACGTTGCTATTGGTTGTTGGCTAAGAATTTGTCATAAGGCTTCATTGCTATTTTTTGTTGTGGTTTTGAACCTTTAGTTCAGTTTTTTTTTTTTTTTTTTGGTATATGTGTTGTTTGGTTTTTCTCTATTAATTCAGTAATTTTGCTAAAGGCAAATTGAAGATTAGAGTGGCTTTTTGTTTCAATATTTATTGTTTCTATTTGTAGTTATTGGAATTTCTTGTTTGTCATATTTGATGATTTGTTCAGATATCTGTTGATTTTTTTTCTATTTTGTGGTATTTTTGGTTGAGCAATAATGTTTTCCAGCCTTTTGATTAAAATTGAACAATACTTATAAGTATCGATGCAAAATATTTATAGTATTCGGAA